CGCCGAGAGGCCCTCGGGGTTCCGAAGATGCACCGCTGCGCGCGGAGTAGATTCACCTCCGGGAATCTGCGCCCAACATCCGATGGTTCGGGCTTTCCTTCTGCGCGGACCAGCCTCCGGGTCGCAGGCTCCGAAGAACGAGCGAGCGAAGATCGCCGCCCCGCCGGGCGCCCCGGAACCTGTTCCTGTCGGCCGCCACGAATTTCGAAGTCAATCCTTGCTTCGAGCCCTTGCGGACAGGCTTGTGTCCTGGAAGCAAAACGACGCGATCGCCCGTCCTTTGCATCCACGGGTCGGCTGATTCCCAAGGAATTAGTGACGTTGGCAGTTTCGACCGTCAATTTGGAAACTCTCGGTGCCAGGCATGCCGGGTTCGCTGGGAAACTGACCTCGGGGCTCAGAGCCTGGCTCGGGGGGGGGCGGAAAACGGCGCAGCCGATGGACAACTTGCCTCCTCTGGGAAGAGCCGCTCGCTTGACTTCGCTGCTGGAATGACTGGCGCAAAAAACGGGGGGCGCCCTCAGACGGGGCACTCAGATGAGGTGGTAGCTGGGGCTGCAGGGCGCGAGCTGCAGCGTCTCCTTGAAGGCGTCTTCCCCTCGCCCCCTTGCGCCGCTGGCCGAGGGGCAGGGGGGCCTTCCAGCGTCTGCGGCGCTCGCTTTGCACGCCCCCGCGTGCACCCCCCTGCCGTTCGCCCTGAGGGGCGGCCGGGGCTGCGCCGGCAGCGGGGGGCGCCGCCCCGCCAGAATTGGCACTCCTGCTCCCCACGATGTCGCCTCCTCCGTCTTCAGGGGCTCGTTCGCCTTGCGACTCCACCTCCGTCATTGATCAACCTTTTATTATTTCCTGCCGCGTGCTTCTTGCGGCCGTCCTTGGTGCCGTCGGTTTTGGCGGCGATCTCGCCGAACCCCTGCCGCGTGGTTTCCGCGATCGTTCTCTGAAGCTCGGCGGCGCGCTGTTCGAGCTGCCCCTTGTCGTCGTTGGCGGCCGCGCGCTCGTCCTCCTGGAACCTCGGACGCCTCCAAGAGGCCGCGGAGGCGCAGATGAGCAGCACGAGCCGTAGTCGTCGGGCAGACTTGCTGTGGAGTTGCGCGGCCAACTGTCGGTGCTCACGGTATGCCTCCTTAGGTTTTGCCGTCATCCTCTTGATGGCACGTTGCTTCTCCGGCGCCCAGTCCTGCCACTCTTTCGAGTCCAGCTCTCCCTTTGAGCTTCTTCTCGCGGTTGGGCACTGCCTGGCGTGCCCAAGTTGTCCGCTGCGACAGCGGTTTTTCTGGCGCTGGTTTCGCTGCGGATCTCTTCCTCTCACCAGGGCAACTTGGCATGGACACGCCGCCGCAGCATCTCCAAACCTGTTGGCCATGACGACCATCCTGGAGAGCTCCTCCCCCGTGAGTTCCCCGCCCGTGGCGACAGGCTGAGAGCCCCCAGCGACCCTGCGCCGCCGCCGCCCATGGTCCCTCCGCCCGCACTGCATGGCTGTTCTTCTTGGTCGCGGGGCCGCTGGCAGCGTTTACAGACCCATTGCGCTCTTCCCGCTAAGGCGAAGGGGGCACTTCCACAGCTGTAGCGCCTTGTGACCGTTGCCTTTTACTCCAGCGGTCCGTGATCCCCACCACTCGTCGCGTTCACTCCAGCCTCCTCGGCGGTGTCGAGGCTTGCGGCGCGACGCCAACATCGATGGGCAAGTGGCTCCCCCCATGGCTTGGGAATGGCGGTTGGCCGAGATTGTCTCGCTTGTGTTGCGTGCCCTTCTTGAGTTCGCACAAGCAAATCCCTTGCCAACATGGCCTGGGCCCAGAACGGCTGGAAGAGGAGGAGGAGCAGGAGCAGGAGGAGCACCAGCAGGGAAAGGATGACTGACCAGGATCAGGAGGAGGAGCAGGAGGAGGGGGAGGAGGAGGAGGAGGAGGAGGAGGAGGGAGAAGGGAGGCGGGGGGAAGGAGGCAGGAGGAGGGATGGGGAGAGGATGACAGGAGCGCGAGGAGGAGGAGAAGGAGGAGGACGAGGAGGAAAACCAGCAGGTATGCCAAAGTAATGGCAGTGTTGGGAGGCATTGCGGGCGGGCTTGTGTGAGACATCGGTGCCCCTCGAATTGCTTGGGTTTTGGGCGCAACGCGCTTCAGACACATTGCTGTCTGGCCAGGCGAATCATGCCAAGACGTTACAAGAAATAGCCAATCGGTCACTGGCCCACAGCAAAGGCAAGGCGTAACTACTCAGTGCGAACGGGGGACGCTTTCCCAGCATCCACCGCTTCATGATGCGCCCATCAGGATGCTCAGTCCCACGTGAAGACAATTGCGGAATGGTTCCCGTCTCAATCATTATTTGCACAGTTCAGTTGGGTTTTGCGTTGGAACCTAATCGTGCGCGAAGCGCGCGTGCGTGGACTTATTATGTATATTTGGGTACATAGATTTAGATAAATGGGTCCTGGCGCATCCCCTTTCCATTTTCAAGCGCACGAGTTGAGTTCCGCGTTGTTGCGTATCCTCCGTTGTTTTCCTCTTTTGTGTCTTCCGTTGTCCTCTTCCTACTGTTGCTGAGTGGAATTCCTTCGTTGTTCGGGTCCTCCGTCTCTTCCTTCTCCCCCTCGTCATTCTCCCACATCGCTTTCACTACTGTCTTCCAGGTCTTCATCTTCCTCGAGCTGGAGGCTGAATAATGTTCATAAGCAATGAACATAACACGAAACACATAGACCATGGACCGACGGCTGGACAGCAGGCAAAAAGAACATTGAACAGGCACGTTCTCTGTGAGGGTAGTTGGGATGGAGTAGATTGCTGAACGTGATGGTTATGGTATGTTGGGGTGCTCCAGCCTTTGGTACTATCTTTGTTCATGGGTGCGCTTTCGGTTTTTCTAACTCGCCGGATTTGCTAGCTTGTATCCCGTCCGCTGGAAAGGATGACGGGGGAGGATGGGGAAGATTTGGAGGAGGACGAGGACGAGGAGGACTAGCCTCCCCCGATGTGAGGCATCCCCCTCCCCGAGTAGGAGGAGGAGGAGGAGGACACAGTGCAGTCTCGCATGGTTCCCGGCGGAGCCGGGTGAAATTCCGTGCCCGCCGGCTGACTGATGATTGACTGACTGAACGTCAGGGGACAGCTCGGGAGACACATTTCGAACCGCCCGCGGGAGCGCAACCCGGCGGCGGCAACCGCAACCGCAACCGGGCGACAGATTTTAAAGCGCCCGCGGGAGCGCGCAACCGCAACCGCAACCGCAACCGGGCGACACATTTCAAAGCGCCCGCCCGCGGGAGGGCGCAACCGCAACCGCAACCGGGCGTCACATTTCAAAGCGCCCGCGGGAGGGCGCACCCGCAGGGTTTGAAGGGGGTCGATTGCGCGTGCACTTGTGCGTAAGCTGCCCGCGGAAGGTGGCGCATAGGCGCCTTCATGCGGTCTGCCGCGCGAGCGGCTTGCCTGATCCACCGCGCAAGGTCGTCGCGCAATCGAGTGCAATCCCCCTTCTGATCGTTTCTCCCTGGGGGGTCAGGCGAGTGGAATTGCCTCAGCCACATCTCGGCCACGCTCGTGGGACTGCCTCCCGCAGGGTTTCAAGGGGGTCGATTGCGCGGGCACTCGCGCGCATGCCGCCCTCGTAAGATCGCGCGTGGGCGCTGTTACGGTGACGCGGTCTGCCGCGCGAGCGGCCTGCGTGAGCCACCGCGCAAGGTCGTCGCGCATTCGAGTGCAACCCCCCTTCTGATCGTTTCTCCCGGGGGGGTTCAGGCGAGTGGAGTTGCCTCAGCCACATGGCCACGCTCGTGGGACTGCCGCAGGGTTTCAAGGGGGTCGATTGGGGCGGGAAACGACAAGGAGAAGAAGGAGGAGCCACTGGCGGAGGGCCCGACGACGAGCCCCCGCGTGGCCCGCGGTTCTCCGCCGGGACATTGCAACGGGGAGTCCCTATTCCACGCTGCTGCCTTTGATTTGTGTATTAGAGTCCTCATGGATGTTTCTTGGAGTCTCTTCGGAGGGCTCTCGGGAGCCTCCAGGGAGCCTCCAGGAGCCTCTATATATGTATACACGTATACATATATATATATATATGTATATGTATATATATATATGTATATAAATATGCATGCATTCACTGTCCCGTCTTCTTTGCCGCTCGCCTGGATCCATGTGGGCGATGAAGAGGTGCTCTGGCAGTCTCGGATCGTTTGGGGTGAGGAGGATCGCCCCGAAGTGTTCCGGGGAGGCTTGGTGCTCCTCGGGGTCTCGCGTGGCCCCAGGCTGAGGGTGTCTGCCCGGGTGTTGGCAGGGAACGCGGCTTCCCGTGGGTGTGGCAGGGCGAGGCACTCCGTGACTGTGCCGACGTCCGCCCCCTCCCCCAGGCGCTCCCGCTCGCTCCGTCTGGACATCCAGGGTGCTGCGCGGCGCGTCAGGGCGGGGGGGGGGGGCGATTACTTGGGAGGGGGGGGAGGACGGTGCACCTCTGGGGCCCTCAAGGCCCCTTTGAAATTCTGCAGCCCTCGCTGCCCCCTCACTTCAAGGCAAGTGGAGGCCCGACCAGCAACCCTCCACAAGAAGCCCAACTCTGAGGCCCCAGGACGTCCGTCGATCCTTGGAGTGGGAACGCCACGCCTTCCAGGGCAAAGCCATCGAAACCCGAGACACCCAGGGCACCCCGGAGGCAGGCAGGGTTTTCCGCGGCATGGGCCTCCACTGCACCGCCCCCCTCCTGTTGCGCGGCGACGCCCAGGGGGGGCTTCTCGCCGCCCCACGGCCAGGCTCGCTCCGTCGAACATTTCCAGCCGGAGCGCCCCCCGGGGTGGACGTCTAGGGGAGGTCGCCGCCGCAGCCACCAGCGTCTGGGGGAGGATGCCAGGGAAGGGGGGGGGCGGGGGGAAAGCAAGTCCCCCCTGAGCGCCGCCCAACCCTCCGGACGTCCAAAAGGGGCGAACGGGAGCACCCGAAGACCTCTCGATCCTCGAGCTGCGAGCCTCGGCGTCGGCGGCGGCGGCGGTCAGCCGGCGAGAGGCGTCCACCTGGCAGAGCAGGAGGGCCAACGGAAACCGGGGCAGGCGCCGCGGCCCACAGACGCGGCGCGCGCGAGCGGGCGCGCGGCTTGAGCCCGTCGTGACGCCGGCGTCGTCATCGTCGTCGTCGTCGATCGTCGTCGTCGTCGTCGGGCGCCGTCGTCGTCTGCCTCTGCCGTCGTCGGCGGCGCGTGAACGTCTTCGGTCGCCATCGCAGCACTCGTCGCCATCTTCGGTTGTTGTCGCCGTTCCCGTCGCTGTCTTCGGTCATTGCCGCCGCCGCAGCCGTCGTCATCGTCATCGTCGTTGTCATTGTCGTTGTCATCGTCGCCTTCGGTCGTCGGCGGTGGTGGTGGTGGTGATGGTGCGTCGACGTCGACGTCGTCGGGTCGTGGTTCTCGTCGTCGCCGCCGTTGTCGTCGTCGTCGCAGCGGTCCCCCCAGGATCGAGGCTCGAGGGCTGCCTTTCTGCCTGCTCGTCTCGGGGGCCGCTCGCCGCCGCGGCTGGGCTCCATCTCACGCAGCTCTTGTCGGGACGCACCCCGGGGGGGGGGCCTCTTATTAGGAGCCTATTAGGAGCGACAAAATAACGTACACGTACATGAATCCACGCTGGTTTCGAGGGCACGCATTGCGCAAATGTTCGTATAACGCGGCCAGTCTCGCGAATCGAGGGGCCGTGTTCATGTACATACGTCCTTTGTGGGCTCCCTAGCTTTACGGGAGGCATCCCGGGAACGCCATGCGGCCCGTGGGGGCCGGGAGGCTCCCGTGGCCCCGGGGCACCCGCCGGAGCCCAGGGGGCCTCGGCAAGCCGTCCGGAGGCGCACGCGCCGCTGCGCGGAGAGCGCGGAGCGGGCCCGGAGCTCCTCGTCCCCCGTGCACCTCCCTCGGGGAGGCGCAAGATTTCAGGAGGGGAAGAAACACACAGACACAATTAATCGTCGACTCCCAGGAAAATATGCAAAAATATGGGAAGTTGGGGGGAAGACAGAACCCAGAAAATTTGGAAAAATATGAGGAATATGTTTATTTGTGTGTATTTATTTGTGTGTGTCCCAGGGCCCCTTCAAGATTCGAGTGCTCTGGGACTCGGCATGGCCAACGCTTCTTGGCGTGCCCGTCCAGGACTTTGACGGGGGACAGGTTTCGTGGGGTGTCTGCCGCGGGAGCCCGCGTCGAATTTCGGATCGGGTCTCGTCGTGTTCCTGCTGGTGGCCCCGTTGGGCCAACCCGAGCACCCCGAACCCGAGCCCTACGTCTCCCCGAAATTGTTGGCAGGCTCAATCCACCCTTAAAACACAGGCTTTTCGGGGGCAGGAACATCCGACGAACGCACGGTTCGTGATCCCCTCCCCCACTCCTGGCCTCTGGAGGCTCCTTCCTGTTCGCGCCGCGGGGGGCATCATGTCCCCCTCACCCGATCGGGGGTGGACAGGACCCCCATCCTGACACGTCGATCGGTGAATTGCCCGTTTTCGGTTCTCGAGAGGGCGCCGCGGCCGTCATTTTCACGAAACCACGTTTTGCGAAAGGGGGTTCTGTCCATCCCCGACCCAAGTCTTACGTCTCCAATCTTTCTCCGAGAAGAAGTCGCGACGGCTGCTTTTGCAGCCGAAGCTTCCGAATGCTCGTCGTCTTGGACCCGGGGACAGGCACAGATGACCCTCGAGTTGGAGGACGGTCGAATCTTCCAGAGTCCCGCGGATCGATAGCAAGTTTGCAGTGCAAATCAGGGAGTCTCGTCCCTCCTCTCCTGGATGAGGTGAGGCCCGGGAGAGAGTACGGTTGGTTGGTCTTTTCGCCCCTCTCATCCCGTCCCTCCTCTCCCCTTGCACCCCTGCCCGGCCCTCTCCCAAACCCCTCTTCAACTTCCGCTCTGCCCCCTTCGCCTCGCGCCTCCCCCCTCTCTCCAGGGTGGAGGTGGAGGGGGGAGGGGGAGAAGGAGGAGGAGGAGGAGGAGGAGGAGGAGGAGGAGGAGGAGGAAGGAGGGTTTCGTAGGCACGACACTTCAGCCAACAGCTAACAGGAGGAGGAGGAGGAGGAGGAGGAGGAGGAGGACGGACGGGCGCGCAGGCGGGCGGGCGGAAGGGCGAGCGCCCACCGCAGCCGCAGGCAAGCGCAGCAGAGGCCCGAGCGGTGACGACGGCGACACCGAGGCGAGGCGGGGAGGGGCGGGCGGCGGCTCTTCCCCCTGTTTCTATCTCTCTCTCTCTCGCTCTCTTTCTCGTTATCTTTCTCTTTATCTCTCTCTCTTTCTCTCTCTCTCTCTATCCCTTCTCTCTCTCTCGCTATATCTCTATATCTCTCTCTCTATCCCTGTCTCTCTCTCTGTCTTCCTCTCCCAGATGGGGTCGGCCCAGAGAGCACGGCTGCACCCTCCAGCGAGCACTTTCCTTCTGCGAGCGTGAAGGGCAAGTGGGCAAACTCCTCGGAGGGGGTCGACGTCACTGCGCACGAAACCCCACGTCGAAGCAGCGAGGTGCCGATTCTCCAGCATCCACTCGCCTCCTCGCGTCCTCGTGCGTTGCCGGTTTGGCCAGAGCCTCTGCTGGGGTGGTCTTGAGCTTCTGGGCTTCCTCCTTCACGGTCTCTGCTTTGGATTTCGGCGTGCTATTGCCACGGACACGAGTTTCGGCCAGGGCAAGAACCTCGAATTGCATGCCCACGCTGCAGGTGAAGCATTTTTCCTTCGGGGCCCGCTCCGTGATACTCCCAAAACTGATCCTCGCATCGTCCTTCGGGGCCTCCTATGATGTGGCTTGGGGTCGAGGTTCAAGACTCGATACCGCGGGAGCTGGCCGCGACCACTCGAGCCGAGTGGTCTTCCGACGAGGCTGGGGGGCGACGCTGAAACCAGCGGTACTTCAGGAGCACACCGCTGCTTGCGCTGGCCCGTGACATCCCGACCCGGCCTCGGGCGGACATGCCTCCCGAAGGATCGGGGGTGGACAGACCTCCTACCCTGACACGTCGATTAAGGAGTTGACCGTTTTCGGCTCGCGAGAGGGCGTCGCGGCCGTCACTCTTGCGGGTCCAGGACCGTCGGTGTCGGTCCCAGGCCGTTCTCACCAAGGGGAGGTGTACTAAAGGGAGGTCTGCCCACCGCTGATGAGGAGCCGGATCCCGCCCTCGCACCCGCTCCGCGCAGCGAGGCCAGAGCCTCCGTGGCTCTCTCGGGGGGGCCTTTTTGTAACAGGGCTAGGATCGGGATAAATCGCTCCAGAGCGCTCCGGAGTGCTCTCAGAGCGCTCCGGAACGCTCTGGAGCGGCCGCGGCGCCCAATACATCTTCCACACCCGCCGATTCTCAGAGATTTCGAGTTATCCCGATCCGATTTTGTCCCGATCTTCGCGTCGTTTTACCCCTCCTCCTCCTCCTCCTTCTCCTCCTCCCCCTCCTCCTCCCCCTCCTCCTTCTCCTCCTCCTCCTCCTTCTCCTCCTCCCCCTCCCCCGGGGCACACAGACAGATACACGAATATCAGGAAGGGAAGAAACACACAGACACAATTAATCCTCGACTCCTCCGAAAATATGGGAAGATATGGGAAGTGGGGGGGTAGACAGAGACCCAGAAAATATGGGAAAGTATGGGGCATATTTTATTTTGCGTGTATTTATTTGTGTGTCCTGGGGCCCCTTCAGAATAGCATAATGCCCCAGATGTCCCCGTAGTTTCTGGGTTTTCGTCTTCCCCCCCACGTCTCATATCTGTTCCATGATTCCCTGGGGGTCGGCCATGGATTGTGCCTGTGTTTTTTTTGTCCCCCCTCCTGAGTGTTCAGGTGCTGACGTCGGGCGCGCGCTGCCGTTCTCGCCCTCCGTGTCGGCGCGACCCCTCGGGCAGCGTGACGAGGCCCGCCAGGATCGCCATCAGCACATGGGGCTTCGGGCCGTGGCCAGTGCCCAGAAGCTCCCTGAAGGCTGGTGGCATTCGGACGAAGAGCATGCGCGGTATATCCCTCAAGCAGTGACGGGGCGTCTTGGCTTGCCGATAGGCCTGCCAAACATTGTGCTAAGAACTTCATGTGGTCTGCACGAAATTGTCTTAGGACATCTCTGGCTGAGACGGTTTTGCTAGAACACATCGGGCCTATGTTCTGGGCATATTTTTTGTTTTTGCGACGTTGCTGGGTTCTAAGAACATTCCGTGTACGTCTACAGGAACGCCAGGACGGCCGGTCCCTGCCCAAATCCCTGCACTGCTACGGCCTCGGAACCCCTACACCTTAGGCGATGCTTTAGAAAACTCAAGTTTTCGGCCAGAGTCTCGATTATTCTTAACTTTTCAATGTAAATCTTAAGATTTTGATAGAAATGTTGGGTTTTAGTCAATTTCTGAGACTATGAATTTCTTAACCCATGATTTCTTAAGCATTTCGCAGGGTGTACATCGATGCCGCGAAAAGCCTGCAAGGCGCGTCGGGGCCGCTGCCGCGCGCGTGGGGGGCGCCCCTCCGCTCGCCGCGCAGCCGCGGGCGCAGCCGCGGCGGGGCGGGGGCCTCGGCCGCTGCGAATTGCGCTGGCGGCGGCGGGGCCGCTGCCCACGGCCGATGGGCCTGTGTTCCGCCGCCACCACGAGCTGGAGAGGGGAAGGAGGAGGAGGACGAGGAGGAGGACGACGAGGAGGAGGAGGCGGAGGAGGAGGAGGAGGAGGAGGACGACGAGGAGGAGGAGGCGGAGGAGGAGGAGGACGAGGACCCCCTCCCCCTCCAGCTTGTGGGTGGCGATGGTGGACCACAGGCCTATCAACGGCCCCCAGACCTGCGGGAGGCGCCTCTCGAGGGCTCGGGCCTCCGCTCGCAATGCATGGGAGCCGGCCCGTGGGGCCGGCTTCTGCAGGGCCGCCCCCGGCCCCCAGTGCAGTGGGGGCCCATGCCAAGCAGCACCCTGCTTTTGGCGCCCGAGTTATCCGGGGTAACTCGGGTCCGGGGTAACTCGGGTTTGGGTTCCCGAAAAACGAACCCGAGTTATCCCTGACCCGAATTACCCCTGATGATTCGGGGCTCTGGATGCCCGAAATATCCGGGGTAACTCGGGTCCGGGATAACTCGGGTTCGGACTCCCGAAAAACGAACCCGAGTTATCCCTGACCCGAGTTACCCCTGATGATTCGGGGCTCTGACTGCTTGCCTCCAGGGTGCCCCGGGTATCTTGGGTCTCGGTGGCTGCGCGATGGGAGGCGCGGCGTGCCCACGCCAAGGACCAGTGCACGTCCTGGGGTCCCAAGGTCGGGCTTTTCGTGGGAAGTTTCCTGTGGACTGGCCTCCGCTGCAACAGCTGTGCGCGAACGCCGCGCAGGAAGGGGCGACCGCGCAGATGCAGCTCCACCGGGCAGCCGCCGCACGAGCCCGACGCGGCCGCGGCATCGGCCCTCTCCCCGCCGAGAAGGGCCGCCGAGTCCAGGGTGGCGCCCTCGCGCTGCTCTGCAGCCGCAGGAGCTGGCGCGTGCTTCCCGCAGGCCGTCTCCCGCGCGGCCTTGCGACCACCACGCCCAAGCCAGACGTCGGCGCCTTCGCTTTGCATCCGGCGAGCCACGCCTCGGTCTCCTCCCTCGCGGGAATTGAGTGCAAGACTCGAGTGCGCCAGAAGTCGGGTTTGCCGACGCGTTTTGATGAGAGAGTCTCGGATGTTGACGGTGTAGCTTTCGTGGGATGTCTGCAGCGGGAGATCGGGTCTCGTCATTTGCATGACGGTCCCGACAAGCCAGCCCGAGTCCCCCGAACCCGAGTCTTCCGTCTCCCCGATCCGTATCGGTGTAGCTTTCGTGGGATGTTTGCAGCGGGAGATCGGGTCTCGTCATTTTCATGACGGTCCCGACAAGCCAGCCCGAGTGCCCCGAACCCGAGTCTTCCGTCTCCCCGATCCGTATTTCACCACCCACCAAACCACCCCAACCCAACCCGAAGGCTCAAATTTACCCTCGATTTCCAGTTGGGGGGGGTCGGGAACCATCGAAAAAACACGTATGGAACCCTTGCCCCCCCCAACCCGAAATTCGGGTCTTCGAGTTGGGTTGGGGTGGTCTGGTAGGTAGTCAGTATTGGCAAGGAGAGTTTCTCGACGAGCGACTCCCGCTGGCGGTGCGCGGTGCCCGCGGCAGCCGCCCCCTCTTCCTGCAGCAGCGAGGCCCGCAGCGGCGCACGTGGCGCGGCGGCCGCCGCCGTGGCCCTGTCGCGCCGCGACTGCGTTCTCTGGTTAGGTATCCTACCGTGTCGGGGGTGGACAGAACCCCCACCCTGACACGTCGATTAGTGAATTGTCCGTTTTCGGTTCTCGAGAGGGCGCCGTGGCCGTCAGTTTCCAGGCTTTCGCCCGCCAGATTTGGGCCCGAGGTCGTTTTCACTAAACCACGTTTTGCTAAAGGGGGTTCTGTCCATCCCCGACCGTGGGAACCTCCTCTACCCCAATTGGCCTGGCTTTTTGGAAGTCAGTGTCGCGTTGGTGTCGGGCCAGTGTCTTCGTGTGCTCCGTATGCGTCGCATTATTCCCTTAGCTCCTCCGTCACCCATCCTCCTTGTCGTCCTCCGTTCCACCGGGGCAGACAACAGGTGTCCTAACGCTCCATCGCGCCGAGAGCGCGAAAGCGGATTCGAATTTCTTTGCAACTCCCACTTTCTCTTCGTTGATGGTACGCGTTGGTCAGTACTGTCGCCTGCTGATTATTGTGCCTCCTCTGTTGCTTCCTCTCCGCGTTGCGACCATCTAGGCTTTTGTCGCACTGTCTGATTATATTGCCCTGGGTCTCCTCGCCATTATTTCAACCGCCTCTGTCGCTTCCGTTTCCGTCTCGCACTGCTCGACCTTCTTGTTTGAACCGCGGTCTGCTTAGCAAAGAACGCGTGCCCCCCCAAAAAAGAAAGGAGAATGATGATGACGATGATGATGATGATGAGGATGAGGGGAGGAGGAGGAGGAGGCGGAGGAGGACGAGGAGGAGGAGGAGGAGTTGGAGGAACACGAGGAGGAGGAGGGGATGGGGGCGTGGAGGATTGTGAGGACGACGGCGCCCGCTGGAAAAAGGGAGAGGACGGCGGTGATGAGGGGGGGGGGGGGAAGGCGGAGGAGTAGAAAGAGAAGGACAGGGAGGAGGAAACAGAGGAAAATGATGAGGGGGGAGCTGGAGCAGGAGGAAGCCCTCGCGCGCGAGCGCGCGCGCGCCCCCGCGCCCGCCCGCCGCCGCCTCGTCGTCGTCATCGTCGTCGTCGTCATCGTCGTTATCGTCGTCGTCGTCGTCGTCGTCGTCGGGCTGCTGCCGTTGAGAACGACGGCGCCTTGGGTTCTCGACCCCTCCCATGGTTTTTGTTTCAGCGTTTCCTCTTCGGTCCTGGGGCCCGAAAATGGCATCCCATGCCCCCGCCGTCACCGCGCCGTTGTCGTCGTCGGGCCGCCGCCGCTGAGGACGACGGCGCCCCTGACCTCTCGACCCCTTCCCTCGTTTGCGTTTTTCGTTTTTCATCCTTGGTCCTGGGGCCCGAAGACAGCTTCCCCAAGCTTCCGCCGCCGCCGCGCCGTCGTCGTCTCGGCGCCGCTGCCGCCGAGGACAAACGCGCCCTGGACTTTTCGACCCCTTCCCTCGTTCGCGTCGTTTTTTGTGTCTTCCGCGGCCCAGGGACCCGAAAAGGGTTTCCCGATCGCCGCCGCCGCCGCGCAGTCGTCGTCGTCGTCGTCGTCGGCGTCGTCGACGTCGTCGGGCTGCTGCCGCCGGCGGGCGCTCCCACCCAGGGCGCCCGAAGGGACCCCAAGGGATCCGAAGGGGCCCCGAAGGCCCGAAGGAGCCCCAATTGGGGCCCTAAGGGGCTCCCCAGGTGCACCTCCTCCTCCTCCTCCTCCTCCTCCTCCTGGTGGGACGGTTCCCGCGGGAACCCGGGCTCGCCTCAGAAATCTCTTGCGGGGTCGTCTTGAGGCCGCGTCGGGGCCATGGGGGGCCACCGCGTCTTAGCGGGAGCAGCGGGGTCGCCGAGCCCCGCCGCCACTGCGACAAGGGATCGTCTCAGGATTCCCTTGGAGCCGCGTCAGGGCTCACTGCAGTCATCCTGAATTCATGGGGTCGTCTTGGGGCCATTTGTGGGTCATGTTGGTTTATCCTTCGAGTCGTGGGGATCCAGCATCGGCGGGGTCGATAGGCCCCGCCGCCGCCGTTGCGACAACGGGCCGCCTGAGAACTCTCATGGGGCAATCTTGGGGTCATCCCGGGTTCGTCTTGTGGCAACTCGGGGTCTTCTTGAGTTCGCCGCGGGGCTGCGGGCGATTGACGACGAAGGGCCGTCTCGGACACATGCTGGGGCAGTGGGGCGCAGAAGCGAGGAGACCCAGGTGGCGCCATCACTGTCGCCATTTTGGTTCGCGCCCAATTGTTACAGGCACCATGTGCCTGGCGTAGTTGCATTAGGCTGCCCAGCCGCCTCCCTAGCCGATCTGCTGGCTGCGGCGCAGACCTCTGGGCGGAATGCCAGTGTTCTGCGAGCGCTCATTCTGCAGGGCCCTGAAGGGGCACAGCTGTGCCCTGAGACGTTGGCAGCTTTGGAGCAGTTGGAGAATGCTCTGGCGTCTGAGCTCGACGTTACAATTCGGGGCCCGCCCAGGCCCAGGATCCCAGAAGCCCGTTTGCGACAACGCATTAGCTGGTTGCAAAAATGGCGGGCCAGGTACATCAAGCAGTTGAAGGTTGCCCTGGCTGAGAAGACGACCGGGTGCGTCCACAAGTTGTGGATCGCGCGCGCCGCGCTGACGGACCCAAGCATCCCTGCCGCCACGCTGGAACAATTCTGCACGGACTTCCCCGAAACAGAGACGCAATCCATCGGCAAGACGAGGATTGGAGCTGCGCGCGACCCCATGGCGGAAACCCGGAAGAAAATGGCCACCTCTGCGGGGGCCAGACACTTGGTAGCCCTTGGCGTGGGTTTTGGAGATGAGTCGAAGCCGGTTTTCCTGTCCCACATTCACGACGAGGCGAGCATGCGCCTCAGGAGCTACGACGCCTCACTGCCAGGCCGGCCAGTCAGAGGCCGCTCGTCCAAGGCCGGGGGGGACCGACGGCGTTACGATGAAGATTCCCCCATCAAACGCTTGGCCCCCGTACGCCACGATGGGGTTCGGTTTTCATGCGGGCCCCCATTTTGTGCACCCCGAGGTACAGGGCAACTGCGTCTCGGTCATCTTCCCTGGTGCGTGTTTGGACTGGCCGACGGAGCTGCAGCCGCTCGGGCGCAAGACGGGCGCGGCGCTGGCGAAGTGCATGGTGGACGTCGTCTCGGGCGTGCTCGGCCTCTTGAAGGAGCAGACCGTGCTGTCTTGGTCCTTCCTTCGCTTCGTCCACCTGCTCGCGGGCGATGGAATTCACGCGAACCAGAACGCTGCCAGGCGTCTGCTGCGCTTCTGCCAGGAACACGCTCGTTGGGGCGCCTTTCGGGTCCGGTACCGTTTGGTTGTTGCGCAGTGCGCCTCGCGCGCCGCCATTCTCGCGGTCATCCTCGCGATCTGCGGCGACCTCGCCCAGAACGCCGTGGAGAACAACGACATCTGCGCCAATTGCAGCAGGCTGTACAAACACTTGATCCCCGACTGCAGCGAAGAGTGCCCCATGTCCTTGAAGCTGCACTTGGACGAGAAGTTTAGGATGAGAGTGGAAGGAGGCCCCGAGCGAGGCGACGCGAGGGGGTAGATTGCGAGCACGGGCGTTGCAGACGCATTACGGCGAGAGCGCGCTGCCAGAGGCCCTCCTCGATATTTCCAACGCGAGCTGGACGCAAAGGGTGACTGTCGCGCAGGCCGCCCGCGAGGAGGCTGCGTCACGCCGCAAGGCGTTCCGAGTGTTGCATGCGCGCGTGCTGGTCGTGGAGGACAAGCCGGTGCCCACGCGCTTCTTGCCGTTTGCCGCGCGCGTGGCCCGCCTCCTCAGCATGAGTATGATGGACCTCCCGATTGACGCATTCACTTTGAGCCTGGCCGCCCCGCGCAAGCAAGGTCACAAGAGGCTGCGGCGCTTTCGCGACTGGTGCAAGAGCGAGTCGGCGGGCGAGAGTTTGCGGATTGCGCCCCTGCGCTTGCAGCTGACGTTGCACGCAGCGAGCATTTCGTCTCGGAAAAAAGAAGCCCGACTCGGCTCCCATGATTATCCAGTTGGCCCAGGGCGAGGTTCAGGCCAAAACGTTGTTGCACATGGGCGTGCTCCTCGACCGCTTGCACCTGGGCCCCGACCTCACCGTGCTCGTCGCCGTGGGGTCCTTGCTGGTTACCGAGGTCAACATCCTCCTCCGATTCGGGCAGTGCGCGAAATTTCCTTACCTCCTCTGGCGCCTGAGCGCGCGTTGGCACCCGCGGGGTGCCGTCAACGCGTGCGAGGAGTTTCTGGGCGCTGATGACTCCGGGCTGGGCGGCGGGTTTAGCATTCTCTTGAAGCAGGAGGCCTTTTCCAAGGGGGGCGCTCCGAGGCCCTCGACTTCTTGCTCTCGGCGCCCGCCCGGGAGGAGCTGGACGGCACGTTGGCCAACTCGGCAGGGGCGTCGCTGGATGTCGAGCGAGCGCGCCAGCAGGTCAAGCGACCAGAGAAGGGCAAAGTTGTTTCCGTGGCGACAGCCAGTCGGAACAACGTCCCCCGAAAATATTTGCCGCGGCGGTCCGGCGTTGCGAAGAGCCACATGAAGCAAGAGAAGAAGACAAATAAGTTGAAATTCGTCAGCTGGCGCGCTCTGGCGCCCCGCGCAAGGCCCGACCTCTCCAAGCGACCTCGGGGGGGGGCTTGCCTGGGGGAAGGGCGTGTCCGAGGGCGACGCGCGGTCGCTTCTCCACCCTGGCAGCGACGAAGAGGCCCGCCGCTTCGTCGCCGAGAATAAGTGCCGCTTCAAGCAGGTCGCCGCTGCTATCCGCCCCACAGCCTTGGCAATCGATGGCAACCATCTGAGTGAGATCTTCCCTGCGTTGAACAGGGGGTGGCTGAGTTGGCTGGGGAACTCGCCGCGCTTCGCGGACTTGCCCAATGCTGCGGGCCCGAAGAGGTCGTCGGTGAACCACCGCGTGCACGTGGGCGATGCTGCGCATCCGCCGGCCCCTTCCTGGGCTTCCCTGTCATGGGGCGGCGGGCCCGCGGGCCCCGATTGGTTGCGAAAATTGGGGCAGTGCCATTGCGGCTGGCTCAGCTTATCCTGCGGCGAGCGCCGTCTTGGAGAACTTTTTTTCTGCGCCACACTGCGCGGCGTCAGCGCTGTGGCCACGCTTCGCGCGCCGCCGTGGGACGAAGACTTGAACAGGTTCGAGTTGGACTGCAGCGACCCGGCTCAGATCTCCCAGCCCATTCTGGAGCCGCTTGGCCCTGCTGTCGCGCGCGCGACGGGCCCCATTGTGGTCGACCGTCTGGGCGCGGTGTTCGTGGAGGCGCTGCCGCACCGGGCGTTTGCCTTTCCCGTCGCGGGGTCCGCCAAGGTCCATTTGCGGCGCCGCGCAGCCAAGACGGGCGCGCGTTGCGACGCAGACGGGGGCGAGGAGCCCGAGTGCGAGTCGGAGGCGGACGACGCTTCCGACGCCGACGCCATGCCCGTGGTTTTTGAGCGAGAGGCCGAGGCTGAGCACGAGGGCGAGGAAGTCCAGAACATGCTCGCCGAGCGGGAGGACGAGGCACGAGGCGACGGCGCCCAGGGGGAGCCAGCGGCGACTGACAGAGCCCCGGCTGGCACGCGCGTTGATGCCCTTGGTTCTGACGGCTACCTCACGCACATCAGCAATCCGGGCTGGCCAGACCAAGTGGTGCAAGGATTTCCCACATGGAATGGGCGCGGATGAGCGTTTCTCCAGGTTTTTGCACCCGCGCGATTTTGGAGGGACCAAAGCCGAACCAGTGATCACCAAGCTTGCTCTGTGCAGTTGGAAGCTGTGGAGGTCGACGCACGCTGGCTTTAGTCAATCCTCCGCCGCTCGGAGGTGTCGGTACGCGGACCAGCTCCACCACCTGATGGGCCGCCTGCGCGCGCTGGGGCAGCCAGGAGGCCGAACGGGCTCCCCGGCCGCCGACAAATATATTCTTGGCTGTACCCCCGACGCCTTCGTAGGCTGAAGGCGCTGTCATAAAATCACAAGAAAGCCCGCCGCTTGGGCCCCGCGGCCAGCCCACGCGGCGAGCATACATCGGGCGCCCTCGCATTTCGCTTGTGCCATAGGTTGCGTCCTCGCCCGCCGAACATAATTTTGGCCCGATTGGTTGCGCCATAGGTTGCGCCTTCGCCCGCCGAACGTAAAACGGGCCCCTATGGGTAGAGCCATAGGTTGCGCCCTCGCTCGCCGAAAATTGCACGGGCCCCTATTGGTTGCGCCATAGCTTGCGCCCTCGCCCGCCGAACATTAAACCGCCCCCTTTTGGTTGCGCCATAGGGTTGCGCCCCCGCCTGCCGAACATAAAACGGGCCATTATTTGTTGCGCCATAGGTTGCGCCCTCGGCCGGCCGAAAATAATACTGGCCCGTAACGAGTACGACCAATCCAGCTCAGCCAAGTCCAGTCCAGTTCAGTCGGCACTTCGCGAAAAACAAATTCGGGCTACGCCCGAAAAGAGGAGGAGGAGCAGGAGGAAGAGGAGCAGGAGGGGCAGCAACAGCAGCAGGAGGAGGAGGAGGAGGAGGAGGAGCAGCAACAGGAGGAGGAGGAGGAGGAGCAGGAGGAGGAGGGGGGAAGGAGGAGGAAGAGGAGGACGGGGAGGAAATGGAGGAGGAGGGGGGAGGAGGAGTAGGAGGAGGATGGGGAGGACGATGAGGAGGGGGAGGAGGAGGAGCACGACGACGAGAACGAGGAGGAGTAGGACGGGGGAGGATGGGGGAGGAGGGCGAGGAGGATAACGAACTCTGCTGTGACAGCAGCGAGGTGTGGGCACCGAAGCAGGCACAGTCTGTGCGCGAACGGGGGACGGTCCTACCCCCTGGCAGCTTCCCCGTGGGGTGCCGGAGCAAACGCCTCGCCGAGGACATCCCCGCAGTCTGCCCTGCAAGCAGCAAAGAGGCCTGAACACCGAAAAAGGCAAACCGCTCGAGACATCTCCACAGACTGGCCGCGATCCCCAGGGCCACGATCCGTAGTAAATTACCCCGCGCACGCGCTCCCAGAGCCTCCTGGGGAGGAGGAGGAGGAGGAGGAGGAGGAGGAGGAGGAGGAGGAGGAGGAGGAGGAGGAGGGGGAGGAGGAGGAGGAGGAAATGGAGGAGGAGGACGAGGAGGTGGGAGGAGGATTGGAGGAATATTGGAGGAGATTATTGGTACGCCTTGGCGCGCGAGCCCGGTTATTGGTACGAGTTGGCGCTGCTTATAGCTCTATGCACGAGAGGGGACAATGGAGTTCCATTCGTGGTAATGTTCATTGCAAGTAATTGGAGAGCATTTGTGAATGATGATGCATCATTGTGCAAACAGCTTATCGGCGCTAGCGCTACTTCCTGTAAGACAGAGGGCAGTGATACTTACCTTGCTCACCACGATGGCTTGGCAGCTGGATTCTCAGGCTTGCTGTTTTTGCGCGCTCTACTTATTGCAGAATGCCGGAAAGCACTACAGGACGTCGCGACAAAAATCGTACCAGTTCTCGCACGATTCATTGCAGGAGAAGGTAGGTCGCAGATGACTCCTGCGGAATTTTTAGATTTCGGCGATTCTCTTACAGGAGCGGTGTATCTGGCTAACCACAAAGGGCAAACTACGGCGGATGCGCGGATACAACGCGACGGACACAAGTCGTTGCGTTGAGTGCGTGTTGCGACATATGTTAGGAGCCGGCCTTTTAGAGCTGAAGCAGGGCACGAGTGGCTTTCAAGCAGCAAACCAAAAAGTTCAGGATGCAACAGGAGAGAGAGAGAGAGAAAGACATGTTCTACTTCGGCACTCGGCCGCGCCAGGCGATGTCCAAATCAGTTGACCGCTTCATGACACTTTGCGCAGGCACTGTAACATTTGTAAGTGCATTTGTTCATTTTTGCGAGGTTCGCCAGTGCACTAACGCATGCACATTCCCCGGGGGGAAAGAAAACAACAATGCGACATTGCAAGACAGCAGTATCTAAGTGCTGTGCGGAAGCGGCCAGCGGCCAGCGGGCGCTGTCCTATGCGTGTTTCGCCGTCGTGGTTCTTCTTGATCAGATGAAACATACGGTTGGCGTGCCCGCGGCACAAGTCAAGACTCGCTGTTTTCCCAAAAGCTCTGCTAAACACATTCTGGAAGATATGGGCGGAACAGGCTTGTCACCGAAATGCGTGCTCGAAAGCATCCCTGAGTGGGCAGCGATGCGGGGCAACTTTTGCACTGTGACAGAGCGGTGTCAACAGCGAGGCCGATCAATTGCTTCGCATGCGGATCTCACGGCGGCTGCCGAGGGATTAGCCGTGCCCACTCGCACCGCGGATTGCCAAATTAAGAGTGCTCGAAGACTGAAGCGGGACATCGATGCTCGTTTGGCAATCGTCGCTGGCTTTCCACGTGGTTACAAACCCCGCAGATCTTATGCCGTTGTCTCAAGCGAACTGCGGGCGAGGAAATTGATCCGACGCCGTATGTCAACGGTGAAGCACGTCGACTTGGCATCTCAGAAATGGAGATTCTGCTTGAGGAGACTGACCCCGCTGCAGATTTCTAGCGCGTCCGACGCGAGACCCTCCGTGGCCGAAGTTGGGTAAATATTGTTCCGTCGCCGTCGTGCGTCGTCGCCGTCGTTTACGCTCGCGCGACGCGCTGGGCAGACTTGAGGCTTCGGCCAAAGTTGGGTAATTGATGTTCCGTCGTCGTCGTAAGTCGTCGCCATCGCCATCGCGCGCGCGACGTGCTTGGTGCACTGAGGCCCCGGCCACAGTTGGGTAAATTATGTTCCGTCGTCGTCGTGCGTCGTCGCCGTCGTCCTCGCACGCGTGCCGTGCTGGGTAAACTGACCTCCTACCTCCTTCCTTCTCCTGCCCCATCCCTCCTCCTTCCCCTGCTCCCCCCTCCTCCTCCCCCCCCTCGTCGTCCTCCTCCTCCTCCTCCTCCTCCACCTCCTCCTCCTCCTCCTGTTCCTTCTAATCCTTCCTCCTCCTCCTCCTCCTCCTCCTCCTCCCCACCCCCCATCCTCCCTCCACCTCCTCCTCCTCCCTCCTCCCTCCACCTCGTCCTCGTCCTCGTCGTCGTCCTCCTCCTCCTCCTCCTCCTCCTCCTCCTCCTCCTCTTCCTCCTCTTTCTCCTCCTCCTGCGCATCCCCCCCCCCTCCTCTCCTTTCGCCTCCAGCGACCGCCCGACCGCCTGGGTGACCTTGGTGGCTCCTCCAAAGGCGCGAATCTTCGTGGCTCGTTTAGGAAGAGCCCAGAAAGCTCATTGCTTGCGTCCCCTGCTTGCGGGGGCGGCGGACCGCGCGACGCCCCGCCTAGTAGGCCCGGGGGGCGCTCGGCTGGCCTGCGCCCGCCCCCCTCGCGCTGCCCCGGGGTCTCGCAATGCGTGGGCGTGCGAGCCTCTCCCGACGATGCCTGGCCGACGCTCGGCCCTCGAGCCTCGGGCGCGCCTCGCGCGCGGCCAGCGGGCGACGTGTCGGGTCGTTGGACCACTGGCGCGAACGCACAGCTACCCGAAGCGCTGCCTGGAGTTGACCTGCGCCCACGCGCCCGCGCCGCACCTCCTTCCAGCCCCCCCCCCTCTCGCGGGGCCCCATCGGAGTTATCTTTGGGTCGCATTGAGTTCGGCCTCGGGTCGCGGGGGCTATCGCGTCGTAGCGGCGTCGTCCGCCTGTCGCTATCTACGTTGCCAGCGCAGTTCTGGCTCTGCCCGCCGACGCCTACTCGGGCCCCCCCGCTGCGCTGCATCGGGCCAGCGATTTCTTCATCGCGGCATGGCGGACATCGTCGCCGCGGATGCAGAGCTGCAGGAGGCCGCAGAGGCGTGCTTCAGCGATAAGGAGATTGGCTTTGCTAAGTTGGCCCTGGCGAGAATGGGGAAGAAGGGGGGCCCGGGTCCGACTCCTGACCATGCCACTACACATTGCGCCCTCCGGCGAGTGAAACAGGGCGGGGGCCCGAGTCAAGACGCCCGCCCCCGCGGCGACTTATCCCATCAGTGGAAGTCCGCCATCTTCCAGTCCGTCGAGGCGAGCGCCAAATATTTCGCCGCGCACAAAGGGAATGCGCATCGGTGGCGCGGGGGCCCGCGGGCAGAGGAGCGCCTCGCCCCCCCGGAGGACTTCGACGAGTTGCCCGGTTGCGTGAACGCAGCCACCCGCGATATTTTCGATGATTGGGCGCCCCGTGACCTCCCGGGGCCCGGCGCCCGGAGGGTGAAAGCCGGGAAGGGGTGCGAGCGGAAGTGGAGGGCAGGTGGAGCGCCGAGCACTCTTTCGCAGCCTGCCGCCGCGCCGGCGGGGTCTGATCTAGCGCCGCCCGGTCCTCCTCCAGCGACTGGGCAGGCCGTCTCGCCAGAGCCAGCGGCAGGCGGCGACGGCGGCGGCAGCGCCGCGCCCGGCGCCCAGCCCCCCCCCCAGTGGAAGCCAGAGGCAGGCCACTGAAACACCCGACGAGCGGGCGGCAAAAACCCGCGAGCTCTTTCGGGGGCCGAACGACGCCCACAAGAAGCTGCAGGACGCCATGGGGGGCGTTGCCAAGGACATCGACGCGGAGTTCTCCGCGGGCAACTTCGCGCAGCCGGACCCATTGGCGCCGTCGGCGGAGCGTTGGCGCCGCAAGTTCAGGGACAATTTGCTCGCCCAGCGGGCGGAGTGGAAGGCGGGCCATCCCGCGGACGACGCGGCCTCCGCGCAGGAAGAATTTTACGCTGCAGCCGACCCTTTTCACTCA